CCTGACGCCCCTCTCCTCGCCGTCGAGGGGAGGAGCTGGCCATTGAGGGAAGGATCAGGAGAGGGAAGGGGTACAGTGGCGGTCCCAGGGGAGTGCCAGAGACGTGGATGTTGTGCCCACCGCCTAGTTTGTCCACCGGGACGCAGGAGAACCAAAATGACTCTCTTTCTGTGGCCATCCTTAGGAAAATAGTCACTATGGACCTACGTGGAGGTCTAGACCAATAGTATATGCCCAGTATTCTCCAAGTTGGTGGAGATAAGCTACCCAAAGAGCTGGGAGACAGACCAGCATGGTGTCACAGGCGTCCACAAAGAAGACAACGAGGGCATAACTGTGGTGCCCTGCGGAACAGATGTAGCTAGAGAGAGGGGGAGGGGCGTGATTGGAGTTAGATTTGGCGCTGGACGAATCTGAACCCAAGGTAGAAACACTGGACTCTGGGCGCCAGTGAAAGCTATTAGGCAGACATTCATCCCAAGTCCATCTCCAGGCAGTCTGGGCTGTGTCAGGGCATGGCCAAATCTCCAGCTGTGGGGAGGCCCAACACAGCCCTTGTTCCAGGCACCCTCCACCCCCAGCGCCACCACCCCCACATTCTTTCTTTGTTGTGAAAGCAGCAAGGGGTGTGGGAGGCGGGTCAGGAGAAGTCAAGCTTTAGAAGATGGGCCCCAGCTGCTGACAGGCCTCCAGGATATGCAAGAGGGGATGGGTAGTGCCTTGTCCCCCTTCTGGCTCTGGAGGGCCCCCCAGGCCCGCTTAGACATCCCTTCCCCCAAGCAGCTGGGAGGAGGGAAGGAAGCCACAGAGGGCCTCACAGGCAGGAGAAGTGGCGCCAGGACTCCAGGGTCCTGCCACATGGCCACCACATGTCCCTGACAACCCAGTCCACAGCACCTTCTCCTTGTAGGCCTCCTTTCCCATCCCCCAGATGCCTTCCTCCAGGCCCCACTAAAGAGGGTACAAACACGAGGAGGAAAACAGGAAAAAGCCAAGGATTCAACAATCCTGCTGTCCCATGTACCATTGCCCTCACCCTGTCAAGGGTCCTAACACATCCATGCTTCAATCAAGACTCGAGCAGCAAAAGGTTACCTGATTCTTTTATTAAAGAAACATCGTGAAATACATGGACCTGAAGTGAGGCAGCAGAGGGCAGGGGATGAAAGAGGCCAGCCCCAAACCCTCTGACAGAAAAACCAGCAGCAGACACACCCTGGAGGTGCATACCTGCCTTTCACCCACCTTGGAGCCTCAGTGAGCTACTCTAGAGGACTCCAAAGTAGAGAACTAGAGAACATATCCTGAGTCCCTTCCAAAGGGGCATTCCTGAGGAGGGAGCCTAGGCTCTAGAGGCAGCGATCTTCCGTTTAAACTGCTCCTTCTTCACCTTCCCATTTGGGTTGGAGAAGGGACAGGAGCAATGGGGAATTGCTGTGAGGAGCTGAGGGGAGCATGGGGGTTGGGGTGTGAACGTCAGCTGCTTGAAGAAAGGTCCATCGTGCTGGCACTGAGGCCCCGGGAACCCTGAAACAGATAAGACCAGCCACCCCATGAGCACTGGGAGCTCCTGGGGCCTGCCTGTCCCACAGCTGTCCTAGGCCTCTCTGGACCTGGGCTGGACCGCCTCACCTCTACCCAAACTCTAGGACCTTGCTTAGCCACAGTCTGCTGAGGAACTAAAAGGAAGACACTCAAGAGCACTGGCCTGTACTGTGAATGAGCCTATACAAGAAGCCACTGCGTTGAAAATAGCACTGCTGTTTTCTCAAAGAGATTTAATACCTTTTCTGTAGTTCTGTTTTAATTCCTTACTAAGACCTCAAGGTACCTGAAACTCTAAATCATTATAGAATTATTCGTAATTCCAAAGTACCAGTTTGGAGGGCATCAGTGGCTGGTACTCTCCTGATTAACTTGCTACTGTCTAGCCTGAAACTAACTTTCTCTCTCTCATTTGCTCTTTCTTTTTAGAGACAGGGCTTCTCTGTGTAGTAGCCCTGGCTAACCTGGAGCTCCCTCTGAGGCAGGGCTGGCCTTGAACTCAGGGAGATCCACCTGCCTCTGCTTCCTGAGTGCTGAGATTAAAGGCCTGTACCACCAGTAACCTCCAGAACCTCCAAAACCACACCATAGGCTGGGCTCCTGAAGGGCTCCCATCTCCCAGGCCAACTTCCTCACAGGTGACCCTTTCCCCTCCCTGCTGCCCTGGAGCTGCTTTCTGGAGCCCTTTGCTCACCTGGAGTGGGGCTGCACTGGGTTGATTCAGATAGTTCAGCGAGGCTGCCCGCTTCATGTTGCTGCTACAGGGAAGAATGAGAGAACTGAGGCCAGTCCATTGTCCCTCCATGTAGGGCACGTCTAAGACATTGCTCTAGCACCAAGGAAAGCTGCAGGCACGGGCTTGCGGCCTGCTTTGCCATCTTAAGCTTGTCACGTACCTGGACGGCCGAGGCTCAGTCCCTTGGAGCTTCCTCACCAGGAGTTCGCTGCTTCTACGAAGCACATCCCGGATCTTGCCCAGAGAGCCACTCCTCTGCAGGGCGCCACTGCCATCCTAGCAGAGATTGGCAGTAGGAGCAAATGGGGTTCCATGTAGCCTGGCTTCCAGGTCTACTCCTGTCGTCTATTCTGCACCTGCCCCCACCCGAGGCCCAGTGACTGAAAACAAGAGCCCAGTCCAAAGCAGATTCCCGGGATAGACCTAAAGGATGGGCTCACTGGTGGGGATAATACGATTAACACCCTGTACGAACTTGGAGAAAGAAGACTCAGAGCTTCTCAGTGCCCAGCAAGAAGGGAAAAGGCGGGGCAATGAGCAGACTTACCCCTGACCACTCGACAGCCACTGATGCATCTTCACCTCCCTCGAATTTCACACTGTCCCCAGGGCCCTCCTGGGAGGTCCTTCTACTATCACCTTCCCCAAGCAGCTCTGCTACCTTGGTCTGACTGATGGGGTCAGTACCCTGGAAGAGGGGGAGATGCTAGGAAGATGGCTCAGCCACAAAAGCACCAGCTGCTCTTCCAGGACACAGATTACGTTCCCAGTACCCACATGGCAGCTCACAATGCCAGTAACTCTAGAGCCAGGGATCCAGTGCCCTCTTCTGACCTCTGTGAGCACTGCATGCATTTGGCATGCAGACACACATGCAGGCAAAATACGCACACTCAACATAATAAAATCTTTAAAAGAAAAAAAATCAGAAGGAAAGAATTTTGTATTCCTTAAATCTCAGGATGGGCTTTTGATCTTTTTTTCTATCAGGTACTGCAAGGACAGCATTTCCCTCCTTATGATGGCCCTGACACAAACACTGGGCAGGACATGCTTTGTGTGGCTGTAGTGCATCCTAACACAGACTTATGTATAGCTATGTCCCAGAGTGAATGGATGACTTACTAAGTCAGTTGAGATCTGCAACTGAGAAATCCTTAACCTCACCGGCCTGTGGAAGGGAAGAGCTGCCCTTCCACAGTTCCACCTAGTGAGGTGAGTCCAGTTTGCATTGTTCTGTTTTCTGTTGGGTGTATTTGAATGCATTGTTGTAGGGAGCAGCGACTGCCCTCCTGATTGCTCTTCACACTGTCTTCTTTGAGACAAATTCTCACTATACTTAGAGTTTGCCAATTTGGCTGGGCTGGCTGGCCAGCAAAACCCAAGGATCCTCTTGTCTCTGCCTCCCCAACTTGATTGTCTTCCCACATTTACTCACCCCACTCGATTTCATCATTATTGTGCGTGATGGGAAAAAGACATACTCATTGCTACAACATGACTGTTTGGAGTAACATCCCTCCTTCCACTTCTACATGGACCCAGGGGTTGAACTCAGTTCTATGAGTACTCAGGACTATGTAGCAGCTCCTTTACCCACCAAGCCAGCTTACCAGCTCTGTTTTGTTTTTGAAACAAGGCTGAAACTCTGTAACTGAAGTTAGCCTAGAACTCATCATGTAGCCCAGGCTAGCCTCAAACTTGCAGTAAATTCTGCCTCGGCCTCCTGAATACCAGAATTACAGGCATAGGCTACCACACCAACTGTGAAAGGAATCTGAATCTGTGCCATGACAAGAATGACAAGTTTGGAGTGAAAACACTCTTAAAAACCACCACAGCTGGGGCTGGAGAGATGGTTCACAGGTTAGAGCACTGGTTACTCTTCCAGAGGTCCTGAGTTCAATTCCCAGCAACCACATAGTGGCTCAAAACCATCTATGATGAGATCTGGTATCCTCTCCGGTCTGCAGACATACATGCAGGCAGAACACTATATGTAACGATGATGATGATGATGATGATGATGATGATGATAAAGATTCTTTTAAAAACCACTACAGTCACAAGACCACCTCACCCTCTCAGCACACACACGAGAAACCCCTCGTCCCCTGGCCCTTCCTTCTTGGTGCTCCCACTCTGGACCGTCATTTCTGTTTGAGACAGCTCTCTCTCTCTCCCTCTCTCTCTCTCTCTTTCTCTCTCTCAGATTTATTTATTGGCTGGGTGTGGTAGTACAAGCCTTTAACCCCAGCACTCTGGAGGCAGAGGCAGGTGATCTCTGAGTTCGAGGCCAGCCTGGTCTACAGAGTGAGTTCCCAGAGAGAAACCCTGTCTGTCTCAAGGCGGAAAAAAAAATTTATTCATCTTATGTGTAGGTTTGTCTGCCTGAGTAATGTATATGAATCACATGCATGCTGATACCCATGGAGGTCAGAAGATGGCACTGAATCCTGTGGAATTTGAGTAACAAGCAGTTGTGAGCTGCTTGATGTGGGTGCTAGGAACCGAATCTGGGTCCTGTGCAACAACAGCAAGTGCTGGCAATTACTGGGTTATCCATCCCTGATACAGGATCTTACTAAGTAACTATGGCTAGTCTCGAACTCCCTCCTGCTTCAGCCTCCCAAGTGCCAAGATTACAGAGAGGCATCACTGCCCTGTGTTGTGGGCTTCTGACCTGTTTCCGGGAACGCAGGGCACATTCCTCCAAGGTCTCAGCTGCCTCCAGCTTTCCTTGGCGCCTGTACAGAGCCCCTAGGTTTCTTAGAGTAGTGGTCACTGTGGGGCTGCAGGAAGATCGGAGAAGGCAGGGAGAATGGTTCAGAGGTGGAGTGAGAATGTGGCCCAGTAGTAGAGCACTTGGCAAGCATACGCAGGCCCTGCAGAAACCCTAAGCACCACAAAAACGAGCGAACAGAAGAGGCCAGGGGAGGGGGCAGGGGAAAGGCTGAGAGACAGTCGAAGGGAAGCAGGCTCTGGCATCAGGAGCCTGGACAGAGGAGCAGCAGAGACTACCGTCTCTCCAGCAGCTCACCTGCTTACTTTGCAGGCCTTGTACCACCCTCCATACTCCGCATAGGGTGTGCCACTCTCCCGGTGCCGTCTCTGGGGATGAAAGTACAGAGATGCTGGGAAAAGGTGAGCACAGGGCTAAGATGCAGACTGGGTTGGGAAAGGCTCTATACACTGAGGGCTGGGGCAAGAAGGGAGTTGCTAAACTAAAAGGACCAAGACAGAGGTGGTGGTACGGGCTGGGTCCCCTACTCACTTTGCTCATTTCCTCCCTCTCCTCAGCATGCATCCAGATAGGCTTGTGGTCATCTGCGGATGATATACTGAGTGAGGAGGTAAGATAACAGATCTGGGCACTATGTGGGGAGCCAGAACCCACAGGCCAATGAAGCTACACTGATGGGGTCTAGCTGTCCCTATCAATCTATGTGTGGTCCCCTTCCCAGACCTTACCACTCACCATCCACAGATCCAAACTCCTGCACATGGGCACGGGTCAGGATCTCTTTGTACAGAGTCTCAGCCTCCGAGTACTTGCCCTGCTTTAGGTAACAGGATGCCTAGAGACAGAACAGAAACATAGGAGCAAGAGGTGGAAGGAAGCAGGTCTCAGCCAGACTCAGGGAGTTCTACTTCTTGGTATCTGTCCCTGAGACCCTCCTCATTCAACCTGCTATAGCTGAGGGTTGAAGTTATTCCCACCCAACTCCCAGTATGACTGGGAACCTCTGGCCATAGAATGAAGCAGACCATTTGTCTTGAAAGACAGCCCTGGAGATAGGCATGAAGTTGGCAAAGGCATTGCCCCATTCTGATGTTTTCTGAGTCCAGAACCCACATGGGAGTCCTTTTCCTCCCCCCTCTGTCCATCTACCTGTCTCTTCCTTCCTTACCAGGTTGTTCTTGGTCCGAGCTACATTAGGGTTGTCCGGCCCTAGCTGGTTCTCATAGATAGCTAGCGCCCTCTGGTAATAGCGTTCCACTGCCTCGTACTTGCCCTGGTTTTGACACAGGAGGGCCAAGTTGTTCAGCTGCTTTGCCACATCTGGGTGGTCAGTGCCCAAGACCTGAGAACGAGCAAAAGAACAGACAAGCTACTATGATTAGGTGTGCGCGTGCACACGAGGAGTAGAAGGAAAAGAAGGAAGAAGGAAAGTCAGCAGAGGACGGGGAGGATGAGGATGAGTGTGGGCACCTTTTCTCGGATCTCCAGTGCCCGCTGGCACAATGGCTCTGCCTCCTTGTATTTACCCCTTTTGCCATACAGCACAGCCAGATTGTTGAGTGTGGCAGCCACCTGCAAAGGAAGGCAAGCCCCATCACACACCAGTGTTGCAAATGAATCTCCAGTTTTCTCCTTGCACAGCAGAGTCCAAGGCAACAAGAGATACAGACTCCATATTGGTGAGATTGCTCAGCAAGGAAAATGCTTGCTGCCAAGCCTGCAGACCTAAATTCACAAGGGAGGGAAGGAGGGAACCAACTCCAAGAAGTTGGTTGTCCTCTGACCTCCAGACTGTGCTCACACTCTCTAAAAAGAACACAGTCTACTACCAGAGCCAGAGGTGAGAAAGGGGAAAACTACAGAATGGCTGGAACTCTATGAGGGTGAGGGTATCGCCCTCTAGAGGAATTTCTAAAAATTTCTGAAGGTGGTTTCTGGCTGCATTTAAGTGCTATTCACAAAGGGAGGCAGGAAAGCTGTGGACAGTGTGTGTGTGAGTGTGTGTGTACACAGAAGCACTGGTATCACTGGGAAGGAGGTCAAGATCCCAGTGCTGCCGAGATGCAGCACCCCTGCCTAGCTAATGTGACATCACAGGGAACTGCTCTCACAAGATCACCTCATTTCCAAAGACGTTATTGCTCATTTTCTCAACTATGACAACCCACCAAATGCTTGGCATTCTGTCCCTACTCAAGGCTGTTACTAGAACTTTCTCCTTTTAAAAAAAGCTCTGAATGAGTAGCTGGAGAGCACTGCCTGCTATTCCAGAGGTCCTGAGTTCAATTCCCAACAAGTACATGGTGGCTCATAAACATCTGGTGCCCTCTTCTGGCCTGCAGGTATACATGCAGCCAGAATAAATCTAAATAAAAAAATAAATAAACAAACCTCTTAATGAAGTGAAGACTAGAGGCAGAGGTGGCAGATGCTAATTGCTGTGAGCCACCTGATGTGGGTGCTGGGAACTAAACTCCAGCCCTCTGCAAGAGCAGTATACTCTCTTAAGTGCTGAGCCATCCCTCCAGCCCCCAACTCTTTCTTTACAGAAAAAAGAAAAAAAGAAAAAAAGAAAAATTTCTAGTTTTTTTTTCAGACAGGGTTTTTCTATGTTGCTCTGGAACTCACTCTATAGACCAGGTTGGCCTCGAACTCATAGAGATCTCAGAGATCTGCCTGCCTATGCCTCCCAAGTGCTGGGATTAAAGGCATGAACCACCGTGCCTAGCGAGCTTTCAATTTTTGTCTTAGCATTTCTATAATAAATCCAATGTTAGGGGGCTGGAGAGATGGCTCAGAGGTTAAGAGCACTGGCTGCTCTTCCAGAGGTCCTGAGTTCAATTCCCAGCAACCACATGGTGGCTCATAGCCATCTGTAATGAGATCTGGTGCCCTCTTCTGGCCTGCAGGCATACATGGAGGCAGAATGTTGTATACATAATAAATAAATAAATCTTAAAAAAAAAAAAACACAAAAAAACACTGACCCCATCACCACCCTGAAACACCAGGTCCAATATTTTTTAAAATAAATAAATAAATAAATAAATAAATAAATCCAATGTTAGATTATTTTGTTTTATCTTCTAGCATAGTCGTACTCAGCTATTTATTTTACATCATATTATATGTATTATGTGATTAAAAATTACGTTTTGTCTCTTTTGCTGTTGTTTATTTTTTCCAGATAGGGTTTCTCTGTGTAGCTCTGGAAACTGTCCTGGAACTCGCTCTGTAGACCAGGCTGGCCTCGAACTCACAGAGATATTTGCCTCCCACTCACAGAGATCTTTGCCTCCCAAGTACTGGGAATAAAGCATGCACCACACCGCCCGGCCCTTCTGTCTTTTATATTCACTGGAGTTACATTTTAGTCCTGTTACCTTTTGGGGGAAATCTTATGTATGGGTAGGATATATTAGTTATAAGTTAAATTTCAAGAAAAGACATTGTCATAAAAAGAACATCACCAGGTGGTGCACACCTTTAATCCCAGCACTCGGGAGGCAGAGGCAGGTGGATCTCTAAGTTCGAGGCCACCCTGGTCTACAAGAGCTAGTTCCAGAACAGGCTCTAAAAGCTACAGAGAAACTCTGTCTAAAAATAAAAAATAATAAAAAAAAAAAGAGCATCACAGGTCTAGGGATACTGACTCACTGAGTCAAAGTTCAATGGTAGACTGCTTCTCTAACATCAGCAAGGCCCTGGGTTCAACCCTTAGTTCCTAAGAAAACATGGGGCAAAGGGAACAAGAGGGAATAAGAAGGATAAATGTGGTCAAAATAATTTATATATGCGCATGAACTGACTAACTGGGGGCTGGAGCGACGGCTCGGGGGGCTAAGTGTAAGCTGCTCTTCCAAAGGACCTATATTATATTCCTAGCACCCATATGGAGGATCTGATGCCCTCTTTGGCCTCATAGGCGCTGTGATTGTGCACATAGTGCACAAACATATATGCAAGCAAGCTACCCATACACATAAAATTAAAATAGAAGAAAAAGGTTTGTTTTTTTTAAGAAAATGTCATAATTAAACCTGTTATTTATACAATTACTATACACTACTATAAAATTAAGCAACGCAAAAGGAGTCACTGGGTCTCAGAAAACTGAGAAACACTGAGATGGCTGGACAGAGCCTGGAAGCGCTCAAGCCTCCTTATAGCAGCTGCAGTGAGCGGACCCAGGGGAGCACACAGAGGACTAAGAGGCCCAGACAATGGAGATGGGAGTGAGTGGGCCAGGAATACTGACGGCTGGGTGGTCCCGGCCCAGGGTGCTCTCCCGGATACTGAGGGCATCGTTCAGCAGATGGGCAGCCTCCTTGTACTTATTCTGGTCCCTGGAAAGCAGCACAAATGATGAGTGTTAGCATGCACTCTGTCCCCGTGCCGTCTCCTTCCCTCCCTCTGTCCTTTGAGAGGAGATTAGGGACTCCCCTGAAATCAGGGAACGTGATGGGACAGGAATAAGCTTGATAACACACACCAGGCTGCAGAACACTGCTGTCCCAAGAGAAAGCCAACAACCTGAATAAGACACACACACACACACACACACACACACACACACACACTCACTCTCTTCAGAGAGACCAGAGGAACAAAGAGCCTGAGAGATTAATAGTCTCTGAGGTCAAGGGTTCGGGACTGGAGAAAGTGAGGGTTCTACAATGGGGGACACAGCCTTGCAAGGTGTCTCTGGCAGGCCCAGCAGAGAGGAGGGGAGGAGAGGAGTGCTCACCGGTACACCAGAGCCAGGATGTTGAGCATAGTAGCCACATCAGGGTGACCTCGGCCGGAGGTGCGCTCCAGGTCCTCTAGTGCCTGCTTGCAGAGGGGCACAGCCACCTCATAGCGTCCTTGAGCTGCATACTGGATGACCAGGTTGTGCAGGGTCCGCAGCCTTGCTGGGATCTCATATCCGGCCTGCTGGGCTGCTGTAGCACCCTGGCCACGGGACACTAACCCACCGCAAAAAAGACAGGGCAATTCCTCAGAGGACTCCTCCTTTACCACACGCCTTCCCCTCTGCCTGCCCTGTGTCTCTCTCCCAAAGGAGACCTGCCACCACTGCTGTCCTTTTGCCCACACCCTTGCTTGCACCTGTGTCCATCACAATCCTATTTATTTTCTCAGTAAGTCACTCACCTAACAGTTACTCAATAAGCCTATGCTAGGGATGCCCAACAAAGCAAAAGTAGGAAAGGCTGGGGGAATCCATGTGGCTCCAGCCTAGGGTTATCCTCCACTAGACTGTGAACTTACTGGTGAAACCAGCATCTTTTTTGTCTTGGAATTGCTATTGCCTGGCACATTAAATGCTGATGGACATGGGGGAGGAGGGGAACTCATGTCCTAGCCTGGGACCCACCCAGTCCCTAGAGGAAGTGAAGACTGTGTCTGTGGATGTGAAGACCCTAGTCAGAGTGGGCCACACCTTGAAGCAGCTTCTGGCTGCCCTTGCCACCCTGCAGCCCCACAGGCAGACTCACAGTCATTGCTGGAGTCTTCCTCCTCCTCGTTGGGGAAGAGGTCATCCAGGGAATCCTTGGTGGCATCTCCTTCCTTCTCCTCCTGGAAGATAAGGGACAGCATGCCAGCCACAGTGGCCTCGTCAGAGGTCTACTTTTTGTTGTTGCTGTTGTTTTGTTTTTTGAGACGGGTTTCTCTGCAGCTTTGTACCCTGTCCTGGAACTAACTCTGTAGACCAGGCTGGCCTTGAACTCACAAAGATCCGTCTGCCTCTGCCTCCTGAGTGCTGGGATTAAAGACATGCACCACCACCGCCTGGCTTGGGGGTTCTTCTAAGCCACAAAATCAACAACAAGGGGGGCCAAAAAGACTCTGTTTCAACCTCTGCCCTGGGAAAGAAAAATGGCTGACCGAGCCATACACGGCCTCTGCCCCTGAGAAAGACCAGTGGCTGACCCAGCCACGCACAGGTCTCTTAGATGTAAAAGTCAGAGACATCCTAGACAAAATCTCATGACTCTGCTTTTCATCCAGAAAGTTCTCTCCCTAGCACCCTTATTCTCAGCCTCCCTCCCTCCAACACGCACCTCTGGTGATTATAGCCCTGTGCCAATCCCTCTGCGTTTACACTGATTATATGTCTCTCCTGAGGGGGAGTATGTCTGCTCTTACTGACACGTACCCAAAGTCTAGCTCAGCCTGGGCTCCCCATTTCCCTTTGCACAGTGTGGGCTTAGGGCCCAGCCCTTACTATCTAACACATTTCCGAAATGAAACATTGCTTTTCTCCATCAGGGATGATGACCTTACACAGAACCTTCAAACCTTCCTATCAGGCTCGTCGGTGTGTCCCAGGCAAATTAGCTCTTCACTGGCCCTGGACCGAACAGCACTCTGGCCTTGGAGAAGGCTCCTCTTTCTCCACACGATCCGTCAAAATCCAGCACAACTCCTAACTCACTGACGTGAACCTGCCCTCCTATCTGAACCCTTCTGACCCTCTCAGCCCTCAGGGACCTATCTCTGTGGAAGTCCCTCTGTGCTGACTAGGCCACATCCAGGCTGTGCACTCGCTGCTTTGTCCAGTCACACCCATGTCCTCGTGAACGAGCCCAGCACTGTACAAACGCTAGAAGCCTGAGAAGCCAGGTGCCTTTCCACAGCACTCCTCTGTACCCATAAACACCTGCTCAGGGAGGGCTGACCCACACATGGTTCAGGAGTCCCCTGCTAAAGTGGGCTATGCCTCCCCTGACCACAGATCCCGGGCTTGAGTCGTCTGGCTATTTATCTCACTCCACACCCTGTTAACTGGTGAACAAGAACTCCCACCCCACTCTCTAGGGGAGTACATATTGAATTAAAGTTGACTGAAAAAGTCGGGATCGTTTCCCCCTGCTGTCATCTGGACCTACTATCAAGGCTGAAAATAAAATTCCTTTGAGTGGGAACACGCTAGCCATTGGTGATCCCTGTGGGATGGCGGGGCAGCCGCCCTGCCTGTGGTGCCAGCCAACTCTGGCTGTGTGTGCTCACCATGCTGTGCCCGTCCTCATCGTACTGGCGCAGCTGCCTCAGGAACTCCAGGTGCTTCTTTTCCTCCTCGAGCTGAGCCACAGCCTGTTCACTGTACTGCAGCCGCTGCTGAGTGCCGGCCAGCTCGTCCCGGAGCCACTGGTTCTCCTGGCACAGCCGCCGGACTTGAGCCCGCAGCTTCTGCTTCTCCGACTCCACCATGCTCAGGTGGCTGGCCAGAGCCAGCATCACCTAGATGGAAACATCACATGAGCCACAGCCTCTTGGAGAAGAGCACCCAGGGGACAGTGGCCTTCTCAGAGATGGCCCATCCAGGAGGGGCATCAAGGAAGCAACAAGCAGGAGTGAGTGGCAACAGTTCTACCACCAAAAGATACTCAAAGGGGTGGGAGCTGTGGTTCTCAACCTTCTTTTTTTTATATATATATATATATATATATATATATTTATTATGAATACAATATTCTGTCTGTGTGTATGCCTGCAGGCCAGAAGAGGGCACCAGTCCCCATTACAGATGGTTGTGAGCCACCATGTGGTTGCTGGGAATTGAACTCAGGACCTTTGGAAGAGCAGGCAATGCTCTTAACCTCTGAGCCATCTCTCCAGCCCCGGTTCTCAACCTTCTTAAGGTGACCCTTTAATACAGTTCCCCGTGCTGTGGTGACACCACTCACAAAATTATTTCGTTGCTACTTCGTAACTGTAATTTTGCTACTGTTACGAATCAGAATGTAAATATCTGATATGCAGCTAATCTGATACTGAAAGGGTTGTTTGATCCCATAAAGGATTGCGATCCACAGGTTGAGAATCACTGGTCTGGAAAGGTGGCTCAGCGATTAAGAGCCAGCTCTGGTTGTTCTTCCAGAGGGCCAGAACAACATGGTAGCTCACAACCACCTCTCCAGCCCCAGGGGATCCAATGGCCTCCTCTGGCCAACTGTGAGCACCAGGCACATACATAATCTATATACACGTAGACAAAAGACCTGTATTCATAAAAATAAATGAATTAAATTTAAAAAGATACTCTGAACCCCATTTCCACCACCTCCATTGTTTTCATCAGATGCTAAACCACAGTTCTCACCGAGAGAAAAACCTCTCACTGGATCTCCAGCTTCTGCCCTTATTCCCTTGTCTACTCTCAAGTCAGAAGGAAGAGGCACTCAGGTTGAATCCCATTACTTAGAACATAACTCCCATCTCTCTCGACGGAAACACAAAGAGCCTAGGACAGCTCGCAGAGTCTGCTCCCACCTCCAAGGGCAGCCCTCTCCTCCTTCGCTTTCTGTGCTGTCTCCCTTCACTCTGGAGAAAGTCACATCAGCACCAGACTCAGAGGAAGGCCTTTGACTTATCCTCCCTGCTTGGACCCATTTCTTCCACGGCCCGCTCCCTCACCCTCAGATCTCTGTTCAGACGTCACCTTCTGAGAAGGCCTTTTATGACAACACCACATAAAACCACATCACCTCTCTCTACTTATTTCCTTTATTTTTATCTTTCTGTCCTTAGCAATCACTACAGTTAATCATCCACCTCTTCACCTGTGTCCTGGCTGTCTCTCCCAGCTATAACATCAGCTCCAAGATGGCAAAGAATTCTACTGCTGTGTTCTGTGAGGTGTCACTGGCATTCAGAAGAGTTGGCACACAGTAGCCACTTAATAAACATTTAATGACTGAACAAACCTAAGTTTCTATGACAAGGTGACCCCCAACCTGCATCAGGCGAGTGAGCCGAAGGCCACTGGAACCCTTGGCCTCTCTGTGACTCTCACCTGGGCCTCACTCAGTCCCAGTTCGATGTTCTCCATAGAGCGCCGCAGCTGCCGGGCCTTCTCGTGCACCAGCCCTTCCTCATGGCCTCCCTGCTGGAGACACTCAATGGTGTGGGACAGGCTCTGCAGCACAGCCTGGTGCTCACTGCGTAGGGCCTCCAGCCCTTGGCTCACCAACCTGGTACTGCCCAGGATCTCCTCTTGGCTAAGCCGGTGTCCTGCAGGCTCATCCCGCTGCCCCAACACCAGGCCTGACATCCTGGCAGGGGTGGGGGTCTTGCCTGGGCTAGGGAGAAACCACAGAGTTCAGCTGATAAAGATGAAAGACACATGGTTAGAGAGTGTCAGGGATCCAAGCGAAGGGGAAAGAGCATGGGAGAGCCTGTGGCCGAGCTGATGAAAGAAACCGAGGAAAGGGGGTGGACGCTCTAGCAGTAGACATAAAACTACGGTGAGCGGGGAGTTAATGACTAAAGGTCCGTAGAACGAACAGGTGTGCTACAAGCTAGAGATTTTACAACTCTGCAAATGAGAGAGCATGGGCTGGGAAAGGGGAGCGGGGGTCTACAGCATTCCAAGGATCACAGAGGGCATGCGGGAAAACTGCTAAAGGAGCAGGCTTAGAGACAACAAAATCTCAGCCGGACACTGGTGGGCATGCCTTCAACCCCAGCACTCACAAGACAGAGGCAGGAGGATCTCTCTGTGAGTTCCAGGCCAGCCAGAGGCACACAGAGAAACCCTGTCTTAAAACAAAAACAAAACCAAAACCAAAAGGAGAGCAAACTCTGTGCAGAAAATAGTGCCCCAATACAGGGGAAGGATCCAAGGTTATGGGAAAGGTGGGGGAGGAAAGAGAGTCCTCACTACGGGGATCTGGAAGGCTGAAGGTCTTCAGGCTGCGTCAGCAAAGGACTTAAGTCCAGCATCTCCCAACCTGGTTAGTTCCTTTCCAACTAACCTTCAGGCCTCACTTGCCACCCGAGGATTCAGCCTTGTCTTCCTACTTCCTCAAACTCATCTCTGAAGTCTTCTTACCTGTGTACAGAGCAGAGCCCTTGGCTTCAAGCGGCTCCCAGGCCTGAGCCCGGAAGAAACTCGAAACTGCAGCTAAAGATTTAGAAAGCTCGGCACTGCCCAAAGTCCACAAGTCCGGCAGTCCCACCCCCTTCTCTCTCGCCACTTCACAGCCACCCAGAGGACCTGGCACAGAGCCCCACCCAGGACAAACACCCTCCCTCCTTCTGCCTACAGGTTCTTCAGAGACTAGTGCTAATGTCCTGTCTTCCTGAACTCAGTCTGCTCCTTCCAGGTCCGAGGAGTTCTTTCTCCCAATAAGGGAATGAAAGACTGATTTAATCTGAGACCTGCGGCCAGGGGTGTGTCTGTGAAGGGCTGAGCAGGGAGACCTGGGTACGAGTCCCACCTGGATTTCTGCAATCGCCTCCCTTCATGGCTTTGTCTGTCATGATCACCTAACCGGTACCTTAGGATGCCTCTCAAGTGCCTGCTGGTTCAGGAAAGCATAGCAGATCTGATGAGCACTGTGTGGTCACAGGGAAAGGTGCTGAACGCTGGCTACCCTGGCCCGGGCTGCAGTTCAGGGCTGCCTAAGCTTGCTAACTTGCGCTGGGGCCCCGGGTTGGAACAGAGACAGGCAGAGGCTGGGGGAGGAAGGTACGGGTGAGCGCAGAGTCGCTGCCCCAGACCCAACAGCGGACAAGCTCGAGGTCACAGAGTCAGGCGGTCCCGCCGGGGGCGGGGCAGGCTGTCCGGCTGTCTGTCTGGACGCCGAGGGGCGGGGAAGAATCGCGGAGGGCGGAGTTTTTGAGTCAGTCTGGAGTTTTGTCAGGTTGGTCGGAAGGGGTTTATTTATTTGTCCCTGGGTGCGGAAATAAGAGTTGGTAGAATCTTAACCCTCAGCCCCAGGGGTACTCCCGAAGACTCACCTGCAGTCTGTGGGTCCGGCTGCCTCCTTGGCGGCTACTGTCCCTTTAAATTCATCATGGCTGCCGCTCGAGGCAATTGTTTTGACGGCTCTGAGGGGCGGGCCTGGCATCCAGTCACGCGACCTCAGCGGACGCCGATAATTGGCTGAGAACCCGATCGTCAAGGGAGGAGAGGAAGTGTATATCTCGCGGCGCTCCAATTAGGTGTCCGCCTCTTGCGTCATCTGAAAGCGACAGTGACAGGTGAAACGTCATCCGAGAGCACCAGGCTCTAAATAAAGGTAAAAGCGTGCGGAGTCCGGAGGACTCTGAGGAGTCCCCATGGCCCTGAGCGCTCTCACTCGTGCTCTGCGCTCTTTGAGCCTGGCATCCCCGGTCATTACCGCCCGGACTCCGACTCTGCTCCCGGCTGCCCAGGTAATCCGCTTACCTGGTAACGTCATGATTACGTGACCTTGGGTAAACTCGCCTCGTCCAGTGCTCTTAAGTGTGCTCTCTCAGAGGGCTAATTCGTCAGACCAGATACTGGCTTGTAAGTGGTTTTGCACATCTCTGCTACACAGGTAGCAGTGGTAACACCATGTGCCTACTGTAAACCAGGCAAAATAGACGACGGCAGTGAACGAGCTCCAGTCAGCCAAGTTAATAAGCACATTTTGCAGATGAGAAAACTGGTCAGCAGTCTAAGGTCATACACCTTTTGGGGCTAGACTGGGTTCAGAGCTTGCTTTTGGTTTTGTCTTGGTGCTGGGAATTAAACTTAGGACCTCGCTCATGCTGCGCACTCCCACCACTGAACTACACGAGACACCCCAAAGCCAATGCTCTTGACCACTTTGATGTAAGGATGGCTTGTCGCTGAGATTAGAGAATGCAGAATTTGGAATAGTAATGGGCCATAGTGAACCACAGAAAAGGAATTATGATCTTGCTTTTCTGAAGTTCTCAGGCTGAATGTAGCAGAATTTGGCAAATGTATATTTGATATTTCAAGCTAAACCAAACTGCCCCGAAGCCCTGGGACTACAGCAGGTGGAAAAGCAAAGTCGTTTCCTTTCATATGTGGGCACTCTGGGAAAGATGCAGAGGGCAGAAGGTACTGATGGTGGTATATGGGTGTGTGGCATTCACCAGCTCTGCAGAAGGGAAGTCTTTAGGGCAGAAAAAGCTTCCTGACAAGAGCTTGAAACAGACTGGAAGATGATGAAAGGGAGAACATCACACTGAAGAAATAGCTCAGAGGGGAGAGAACCAAATGATTACTGCTCAACTCCCACTCACCTGGATAAACACATTGCACCGATATTTGTGAAAATTGGAGGTTGGAGGGCAGTGGTCTGAGATGCTTCTGGGAGGAAGTGGCCTACAGCTAACCTTGGTCTGTCTGAAGAGATCGTTGTTTCTTATCCCTAGACGCTGGGCAATGCCCTTCAGCAACCCTCGGCCTTGGTGTTGCCTTCTTACCGCTCGGTGCACACGTCTGTGGACCTTAATGCCAAGTTTGTGTCCTGGAAAAGTCGTACCAAGTACACAGTCAAGCCAGTGAAGATGAGGAAGTCGGGGGGTCGAGACCATACAGGTGGGAGAAAGGGGGGACGTGCTCTAGGATCCTGGGTGTCTATAGTAGTACCCTACAGCTTTTAATATGTCAGACACACAGTTAGAAAGTATTCACTGAGGGCTGGAGAGATGGCTCAGTGGTTAAGAACATTGCCTGCTCTTCCAAAGGTCTTGAGTTCAAGTCCTAGCAACCACATGGTGGCTCACAACCATCTGTAATGAGGTCTGGTGCCCTTTTCTGGCCCGCAGGCACACACAGACAGAATACTGTATACATAATAAATAAATATTTAAAGAAAAGTATTCATAGAGGTGCTTCTCCTTATGTGGTTCATTACTGAAGAACAGACCACATAGAAACAGTGAAGTAGCTCAACACAGGAGGCACCATGGTGTTTTCAACCTTCCCAAAGTTCGTAACAATTGAAATTATGTGAGTCCAATATATATCCTTCTCAGTAAACTTATTGAATTCAACAACTTGAAAAGACTTTATACAGTTTCAGTCATTATATTTTTATTGAGTCATGTGCTACCCCATCCCTTTTGCAAGGATGTCATGGCCCCCATCTACCCACATACTGTAGATCAAACATGGGGTCTCAGTGTTTACAAGGCAAGCTCTCCAACACTGATCCACACCCAGCCTTTTGTCATTTTCTGTTTGTGATATAATATTGAAGAGTACTACTGTTTAGTCTAGACAAGGCCTGTTAATGCTGAAAGCTGTCCTAACCTGAATCACATCCCTGAACTGTCTTGACTCTAGGCCGCATCCGAGTACATGGTATTGGTGGAGGCCACAAACAAAATTACAGAATGATTGACTTCCTGCGGTTCCGGCCGGAGAAGGAGGCCAAGCCAGAACCCTTCGAGGAGAAGGTTGTTGTCGTCCGCTATGACCCATGCAGGCAAGTTTGGGATGTGAGGCGGTGGGGGTGTGATCTGAACTGTCATTGGTATTGCCTCAGAAAACAGGGGCCTTCTTGATGGTCCACTTATTTGCCCATCATCCCGAACAGGTCTGCAGACATCGCCCTGGTCGCTGGGGGCAGCCGGAAACGCTGGATCATTGCCACAGAAAACATGAAGGCAGGAGATACAATCCTGAACTCTAACCACATAGGCAGAATGGCAGGTGAGAGATGACTGCTAGATGCCTGGGATGGAGGCTGCAGATGGTCTAGTGCTGATGAGATTCTCTCTTGTAGTGGCGGCTCAGGAGGGCAATGCATATCCTCTTGGAGCATTGCCTGTGGGGACCCTCATCAACAATGTGGAAAGTGAGCCTGGCCGAGGAGCGCAGTATATCCGAGCTGCAGGTATGGGAAAGAATCTACTCACGTCCCACAGACCCGGGGATACCTGATATCACTGTCTTCAAACCCTTTGGACATCCGTTCCTCAGACAGGCAAACACAAGGAACAAGAGAATGAATGTATGGAATATGTGCTTTGGGTTTTTTGTTTAGCTCGGTTTGGTATTTCGGGGGTTTTGTTTGTTTGGTTGGTTGGTTGTTTTTGTTTTGTATTGTTTTTTTGGTAGCTTTGGAGACTGTCCTGAAACTCAGTCTGTGGACCACACTGGCCGGGTGTGTGAACTCACAAGAGATTCACCTGCCTGCCTCTGTGCTGAGATTAAAAGCAAGAGCCACCACCACCCTGCTGTGCTTTGTTTTAACCTAAATCCTAGTGTGTGGTGCTGTGCTTTGTTTTAACCTAAATCCTACTGTGTGGTCCTCTGTGTGTCATGTGCTCCTGAAGGGCAAAGGGCAGCCTGTGGCCTAGATCCCCATGGATACCTCCCTATGTGGAGGGTAAAGCTGCTTCCTCCTTCCCTAGGGACATGTGGTGTGCTGCTTCGGAAGGTGAATGGAACGGCCATTATCCAGCTGCCCTCTAAGAGGCAAATGCAGGTATATGCGGGCACAAGTAGGAGGGGCCAGCAAAGAAGGAATTTTTGGAATGTGCCTCACCAGCTCCCATGTGTCTGAGATGCCAGGAACTGCCTCCAGCTGTGTCTGTGCAGTTTGCCACCTGACTAAGCATGCTTTGTCAGGTTGACACCTTAGTGCAGTTAAGTCAAAATGCCATTTCTCAGCTGGGCATGGTGGTACATGCCTATAATCCCAGCATTCCAGACTGAGTCAAAAGAATGAAGCCACCTGGCCTACATGAGACCTTTTCAGGAAACCAGGAAAAGATAGATGTGGGTTGAACAGTCAGGTTGGAACTGGCTTATAATCTCATCGCACAAAAAGCAAAGGTTGGGGGATTTTGTTGAGTTCTGGGCCAGCCTGGTCTACATAGCAAGTGCCAGAACAGCCAGAGCTAGAAACCAAGACCCTGACTCCAAAAGAAAACCTCAGAAACAAACAAAAAAGGATGGAGTCCTTTTCTTTAACTACTCAGTTCATCCTGTTGAAGCCACAATTGTATTCTCTGTTGTGTTTTCTCTGTCTTCTCCCATCCCTCATTGAGTGTAAGAAGCCACCAAGCAGAGTTGTACTCCCAGAACTGCTGTGCTTGTCTCTTGTCCTGCACCACGGTGCATTCTCATATGCTTCTCTTGTCAGGTGCTGGAGACATGCATTGCAACTGTAGGCCGAGTTTCCAACGTTAATCATAACCAGCGGATCATCGGCAAGGCAGGACGGAATCGCTGGCTGGGCAAGAGGCCTAACAGTGGGCTATGGCAACGCAAGGGAGGCTGGGCTGGCCGAAAGATTCGGCCACTGCCCCCAATGAAGAGTTACGTGAAGCTGCCCTCTGTTGCTGCCCAAAGCTGATACCCCTGGACTCTAATAAAATGCCCTTTGTTTTTAATCTGTTACTTCCTTTTCACTTTTTGAAGGCGGGTACAGACTGGACGCGGAGTAAATAAGGACTGAGGGAAGAGATAGGAAAAGACGGCATGGGGAGGGGGTAGAAGTGACCTCGCAAGGTCCTTTCCAGTTCTGTCTTTGGGAAACAGGAAGGTACTTCCGGCAGCAGGAAGGAAGACCAAAAGGAAGAGGAAAGGGCGGTGCGGAGCTGGAGGGCCACGGCGTCGAGGTGGCACCCGCGGCTCCGCCCGCCGCCGGCCCCCGGCCCCGGGCTTTCCTCTAAGTCTAGCGGAAACGCGCGGTGGCGAGTACAGGCAGTGGAACCTCTGCGCGCCCTAGCTAGAACCAGACTCCGCCCTACAAGCAGTGCGCCGGCGCCGCCGCGAAGTCCCCGTAGGCCCCGCCCTCTGCCCGCCTGCCTCCTGCAGAGGCACGCCCCCTCCTCTGCGCCTAGACCCCTTCAGGGGGCCCAGGCGGGGCCCAAGGCTTCACCAGCGCCGCAGCCGCCATCGTGTGCCGTGCGTCCCTAGCTCTGCAAAGGACAGGCTTCGCGCCAGGATCCCGGCGGACTTCTGAGGTGGCTAGAGCCCCACCGCGGCCCCTGCCCCTATTCTGGGCTTCCGATCGCTCGCCCGCGGAGCCTCTCGTCCCTTCCTCCACCATGCTTTAGGACTCTCCTGTATTGGGCCTAACCCCCACCCCCACCCCATCCTATCCCGCCGCGACCGCTCCCTATCTTATCATCCACCAAGCCCTGTGCCCCTTACCCATCGGACCCCAGGTGCACCTTTCCCCTGACCTCGCGTCTTTCCCCAGCCCCTCTTTCTACAGTTGTTGTGTTCATGAATGTCTCCATTCCTACCCCTTCTCCCAGTCCATCATGCTTTGCTGATGGCTACTTCACCGTCAGTGCTCTTGCCTTTGGGACTCACAACACAGTGCTTAAATTTAGAGATTGCATTCCACTCTGACTCAGTCCTGTGCCTTCACACACCCCTTTCTCTAGGTTACCTTTATCTGTCCCAGGATCTTGGGCTCATTTGTAAATCCAACATTGCCCTGTACCACTGCCCCTCCGGTCATTCCTCCGAACCAACCCACTCGAGGCCGCAAGGCTTGGAGACCTTTCAGCTCCGAGATTTGTTCTTGAAGAACAATCTCCGCAGTGTTCTGCCCAGTCCTGGTCTCACCCAGCCTGAAGCAGGCCCAACGTTACCCCACCCGGGCTAACAGCTGTTGCTTCATTTGCTCCTCAACTCCCCGAAGTCCTTGGTTTTCTGACCTCCAGTCTGAATCTAGCTTGCCTTTTCTCTCTTCCTTGTGTGTCTCAGGTGCCAGGATGGTGGGGGAACTCCGCTACAGGGAATTCAGGGTGCCCCTGGGACCTGGCTTGCATGCATATCCGGATGAATTGATCCGCCAGCGGGTAGGCCATGATGGGCACCCCGAGTACCAGATCCGCTGGCTTGTCCTCAGGCGCGGAGATGATGGGGACGGGGACTCTAGTCAAGTGGACTGCAAGGCTGAGCATATCTTGCTATGGATGTCTGACGATGAGATCTACGCCAACTGCCACAAGATGCTGGGCGAGGATGGCCAAGTCATCGGACCTTCCCAGGAGTCTGCAGAGGCTGGGACCCTCGACAAATCTGTGCTGGGGGAGATGGAGACAGACGTGAAATCCTTGATTCAGAGGGCCCTTCGTCAGCTGCAGGAGTGTGTGGACACCGCTCCTCCTGCCCCTCTCCTTCACACTGTCCACGTACTCAGTGCTTATGCCAGTATCGAGCCCCTTACTGGAGTCTTCAAAGACCCCAGAGTCCTGGACTTGCTCATGCACATGTTGAGAAGTCCGGATTATCAGATCCGCTGGAGTGCAGGCCGGATGATACAAGCCCTGTCCTCCCACGACGCTGGTGAGGGGCAGTTTGGGGAGGAAGGGAGAACAGGAGAGGGTCTGGGTCGGCTCAGGGATTCACAGGACACTGTGACAGGAGCTTCTGACCTCATCAGTACGTAAATGGTTCTGTTGTTCTTCACTTTAAGTTGGAAGTAAAAAAGTCGGGGGAGGAGTTGGGGGAATGTGCGTGCGGGGGGGACTTACTAAGCAAGAACGTAGTCATTAGCTTTTTATGCAAAAGAAAAACTTAGACTTTGCATTGTGTGTGTGTGTGTGTGTGTGTGTGTGTGTAAGAGAGAGAGAGAGAGAGTGATAGTAAACTTTGGCTCTAAAAGCAAATCAACAAAATATGTCATTCCCGATGAGCGCTGGCAAAGGGTTGTTATTAAGAAGAAAACTAGGGCGCTGTTTCTGATTGGAAGTGTGGGTTCCAGGGACCCGGACGCAGATCCTTCTGTCATTGAGCCAACAAGAGGCCATTGAAAAACACCTGGATTTTGACAGCCGCTGCGCGCTGCTGGCACTCTTTGCGCAGGCTACCCTTGCCGAACACCCCATGTCCTTTGAGGGTGTTCAGTTACCGCAGGTATCTTGTGAGGGGATGGGGTAGTGGGAGCTGTGCACTTGTCACAGAGGATGCTGTGGAAAGAGGGACAACAGATGGAGACACGGGTGAGGCTCAAAGTGTATCCTGCAGGTCCCAGGACGGTTGCTCTTCTCCCTGGTGAAACGCTACTTGCACGTCACCTTCCTCCTGGACCAGCTGAATGGCAGTGCCGGGGAGAAAGGAGCCCAGAACAACTCTGTTCCCAAGGAGTCAAATGCAGGAAGGGGTCGGCTGGAACTGGAATTCAGTATGGCCATGGGCACTCTGATCTCTGAACTGGTGCAGGCCATGCGCTGGGACTGGGCCTTCAGCAGACCAGGGAGGTTGGCACGGTCCCCCTCTTCCATTTTCCAGCCTCAGCCCACAGATGCCAGCTCAGCGTTCTCCCACACCCACACCCACACCCAGCTTGTCAGGAGGTCAAGGCGGTTTCGCCCCCGCACTGAGTTCGCAAGTGGCAATACCTATGCCTTGTATGTGCGGGACATGCTGCAGCCTGGGATGCGGGTACGGATGCTGGAAAATTACGAAGAGATCACTGCCGGGGATGAGGGCGTGTTCCGACAGAGCAACAGTGGTGTGCCCCCTGCGCAGGTGAGGGCTTCCCCGTAGTGGGACAAAAGATTTACTCTGGGTAGGGCATAGCTTCTGTTCAGGGGGCTCTTATAAGCTAGCTCAGTTAAGATCTAAAGGGCAAAGGGGTCAATAGTTGAAAGGGAGAGCTACTTGAAGAGCTTGGGATATGTGGGTATAGGAGGTTCAGACCCAGGAAGAAACTGATAGGTCAGAATCAGGAAGATAAGCCGTTTGGGGCTAGATGGAGGCATAGAGTCATGTAGTATCAGAGAGAGGAGCCAGGCACGGAAACACAGGTTTGTAATCCCAGGACTGGGAAAGTAGAGACAGGAAGATCAGGAGTTCAAGGCCAGCCTTGGCTACATAGCAATGTTGAAGCCAATCTGAAAGATTGTATAAAATTAGAATAGGTGGAGAATGAGCACAGAAGAATTGAGGCTGTCTATATTCCGTATACCAGTGTTTGGCTGTTGCAAGGTGCTTACGTTATGGACTGTGGGCCTCATTGTGGGGCCTCAGTCCATCAGTCGCTCTTCTTCTTCCCTCTTTTCCCCCTACTCTCCAGGTGCTGTGGGAGTCAACAGGCCATACCTATTGGGTACACTGGCACATGCTCGAGATCCTGGGCTTTGAGGAAGACATTGAGGTTGTGGCTGAGACTGCTGAGTACCAGGGGGCAGTGGTCAGTGGCACACTGGGTGTAGGTGAGCTCTGGGAGGGGTCAGTTCTGAGCAGGGAAGCAGTGTTCTAGGTGGGTGGGCAGTGACATGGCCACGCCCCGTTTTCACAGCCCCGCCCTCCAGGCGCTGGAAGCCCATAACTGAGCTCTTTGCTCTGCCTTATGTGGTGCCTGAGGAGGAAGACACAGAAGAGAGTGAGCACCTGACTCAGGCTGAGTGGTGGGAGCTCCTCTTTTTCATCAAGAAGTTAAGTGCAGCGGACCGTCAGCAAGTTGTGCAGCTCCTGCAGGACAACGTGGATGGGGAGGTAGGCACTTCTCAGCGGGGTCCCAGCAGGTCTGGGAAAGCGTGGGTAGGGAAGTCCAGGTCAGACAGCATCAGGAAGGCACAGGGGAGGAGTCCGGAGTGTTTGGAGATGCAAGTGTTGGCGGGAGCCAGTGCTAAGATTCAGAGTGGCGGACGTGTGTATAGACATCCCCATTCCTACAATGTGCCTTGCAGCATCTGTCCATTCAGCGACCTGCAGGTAACTTTCTCCCCATAGCATATTCTGCACGATGAGATCCTACCTGAGCTGACCGTGCCCATTGAACTGGCCCAGGACCTTCTGCTCTCTCTGCCTCAGCAACTTGATGACAGTGCCCTGAGGGACCTGTTCAACTGCTACATCTACAGGAAGTATGGCCCCGAAGCCCTGGCAGGACAGCTAGGCTACCCATGTCTGCTAGATGCCCAGCAAGATGTATTCCTGTTCAAAGCTGCGGCCCGGCCTCAGCAATCTGAAGGTGTGGCTGGTGCAGAAGGTGGGTGCCTTCAGGAAGGTGTCCTCGCAAGGGTGTTTCTGCCAACCGTTGTGCCATCTTGTGTGAAAGACATATCCTACCCAGAATCCCATGCGTGCGAGTGTGTGTGTGTGTGTGTGTGTGTGTACACACAAAAGTACAACTACAGATGTTATTACTCAGCTACCATTTAGCTTTCTATTTTTTTTTATTTTATTTTAGCCAGGAAAGGGGGTGGCACGTGCCTTTAATCCCAGCACTCAGGAGGCAGAGGCAAGCAAATCTCTGAGTTTGAGGCCAGCCTGTTCTACAGAGTGAGTTCCAGGATAGCCAGGGCTACACAGAAACCCTGTCTCAAAAAATACCAAGCAAACAACAAAACAAAACAAACTTCTTAGTATACACTGCGTCTGTGTACGATATGCACGCAGTGATCACCACGGCCAGAAGAGGGCA